ATTCTCACTCTGCACTTCTTTTTTAAATTTTATCACTCTGAATTCATAATAATTCTTCAATTTATTAAAAAAAAAAAAACATTTTAACTCTCTTCACTGGATGATTAAAAACCAGCCTTTTTGTTCCTATTTTACATGCAGTAACATTTTTGTTAAAATATTTTATGCACACCAATGTTAAATGAATCATAACACTGAGTGCTCCTATTATTTAATGTGGCTCTCTTTCACATTGGCATAATTCTTTGTTCATGGTCATGTTGGGCATAGATTTTATTTTCTCAGCTTCATTATGAGACTCTCATATCAGGCAATATCAAGAGCTTTAAAAATGATACTAAGCATTACCTATCATCTGTCTTATCATTTATCCACCAAGTCAGTTACCACATCAAATGACTATGTTTACTCTGAAAAACGACAATTTGAGCTCACTGTATGTTAATTTCCACTCATGGCTTAAGTGGTGTACTTTATTTTGTGCTAGAATCTTTACATTTCAATAAATAACAGAAGCACTTAGGTCTGTCGAATAAAAGTTCTCAAGGCACTGCAAAAACTAATACATAGTATATGTATTAGTATATGACATTATGCAATGTTCATGAAAACAACAGTTGGTTGTTGTTTTTCTAGTCTGAATTATCAATTGCAATGTCAACCACCAGATGGGAGCAGAACTTATTAAAGTTGTTAGGGACAATTGTAAAAATTGACATAAACATGTAAATTATTCCTCCTTTCCCTCTGCTTCTGAAACACTTCTGATAGATTACATCTTCTTTACAGTCATTCTACCGTTTATTTGTTCCAGAATATGACAGAGTTTCTTGAAAGAGCCTGTCAACATTTATGAAGATATTTACGGAATCTTCAGAAGACAAAATGAGCTTCTTATCCTAGTCTATTTGACAGTGGTTACTGACAATATCCAGGAAAATGATCTTGGATTGAAATTAAGTCACAGAAACCAGAAATTGCTAGTATACACCAGCAATTGTTCTTTCAGACTCAATAGATAGCAGAAGTTATATGAAATTATATTTCTTCTGTAAATTAAGACAGGCTTGTATTAGGCTTGCTTGCATTGAATAGAAATATTGGGAGGTAGCAAAATTTACAATGCAAATGCTTTAAAAAGAAATTAAATGACAATATATAACACTGCTTTAAAAGTTCTGAAGAAAGATGGTTTTTGATCACTTCAAACCACAAACTCAACATTCAGAGAAAAATCTATCCATGTTTGATCACAGTGAATGGAAACATAAGTTTCTTCCGAAAAGTCCCTTGGTTTGTTCTTGTCATTTTAAAATTTAATGCATTGATAAACAAGGTAAGCCATATTCTTTCAATACACATATTTCTGCTTAATCTTTGGTCCTGCTAATTCTTTGGTTCCTAAAGATGCAAAAAATACATACTTGACAGGTGAAAAAGTCAGCCACATCAGTCAGTCTAAATACACATTAACACTATACTGAAGTCCAAAATGCTTTACAGTTATCCTGACTTTCCTATTTTTGAATAAAAATGTTCCCAACTCCCCTGAAATCTGCAGTCACTATTCATATATTTTATAGTCAAACAGAAAATGTGTGATGTCAGCTACACAGTCAGCTAATCCGCCTCAGGAATTTTGATATGAAGGTTGTAACCTAAGATGATGACTCATCTGAAAAAATATTAGTTCCTGACCCCTTTATCTGATTCAGGGCAGATGGTTTTGTTTTTTCAACAAGTCAGAATAAGAATCCTAATAAATTCATTAAATTTCACGTTTTTCCTACTAAGTGCTTAAAGATGAAATTATATGATCTCCACGAGGAAGAATATATTGATTCATAATTAATTACCTTGGGGAATCCTTGGCTGAAATCCATTTGCTTGTGTACTGGATTGATATTGTTAGAAATGTTATTCACTTTGTCCTGTACACAGTTTCGGGAAGGAGAGGAGAGGATTCTTTAACAGGTAATTATATAGATTTATGTATCTTGGGTCAGGCCTCAAATGCAGAAAAATTCTTGCCTGTAATCTTAATAGGACAATTGTGCAAGAAAGTAGAATTTACTTTGGGATCTTGCTGTCATTCCATGATTTGCTTACAAGTCAAAGAGGAATCCACATATCCTTAGTCTAGTCACATTTCCCTGTATGTTTGCCTGCAAACCTTGAAAATTTGTCCATCTGGATGTTCAGTCCATGTCAAAGATGGAATTTAGATCATTGCCATTTATATAAGAAACTTTAGCAGCAAAGAAAATCATAAAATGCACAGTTGGGTTAATCAAACCTTGTAAAATATCTCTCCAAGACAGGGTGCAAGGGGAATAACACTAAATGGGAAATTTGTAGGGTCCTTATTTTAAACGCAGTGTGACAGGATGGTAACATATCAATAGGTAGTAATTAATTGCCTCTGCCTGTTCAGTTTACAGTGACTGGTTTTAATTGAGCAACTGGCATAGTGTAAAAATTCTTTTTTCTCCTGCAAAACTTATCTATTGTATGTAGATAAGGAAAATCTTAGCTCAGAAAATCTTAGTTGAGAATCAAAGTGGAACACCACCTCAGTCTGCCATGTCCCAGTAATGCTACAGATTAGCCTCCCTCCCTCCTATTCCAACTGATATATTGCCTTGGCATATTGACAAACTGGTCTTTTCTGATGGGAAAACCATTTCAGGAAAGAAAGAATCTCAATCTCTCGTGCTTCACTACCACTCCTACATAATTAATACATTATTCCCTTTGTTCACTGTCTAGCTTAGTATTTCTTGGACACAAAAATATATTTTTGCAAAGAAGACATCTGCTTTAAGATGTTTCCTGGACGTGTATGACAGCCCTTCTCTAAATTTATCAGAATTAGTCTTTTTGCAACATCATATTTAATTTTTCAAATATTCCTCAAAACTCTGGAAAAGTCAGTGTACATTAGGTTGAAAAGAAAGGTAAAAAGTGTTTTTTTATTGACAAATGTCACCAGTAAAGATTATATAAGATGTTATTTCATATTGTGCTGCAGTTTTAAACCTTTATATTAATTTTCCATATACTGAATTACCAAGTAAAAGGCCAACAGATAATTGTGTTCATTTACTATAAGGAACACTTGGACTAATTAAAAGTAATTCAGCAAATTATCTGAAACCATTTAGTCAAATATAGAGAGAGGTCAAACCTAGGGCAGCACTATTTAAATCAAATTAAATTCCAGTTTGAGAATGGACTTCAAATAGATTTTTAATTGCAGTATTTAGTCCACAGGGCATTCTATCACACACACTCTTTGTTTTCAAGTAAAATCCACCAGAATATCCTCCATCAGGGTAATTTTGATTACAAAATTTCTGTATTATGAAGTATGTAAGTATGTTCTAGGGCTTTCATTCTTTGGTCGTTTTGCTTATAGTTAATCTCTCCTGCCAAACACTGAGTGCTTCCCCTGACTGATTCATTTCGTTAAGCAGAAAAAGAGGAAACCGAAATGTGACACTAGTGCACAGAATGTGCAGGAGAAGGGTGAAACCCTTCATGAAGGACCCTGTCATTTCATTGCTCTCTGGCAGCACTGCCTGAGCACAGAGAATGCCAAGCTCAGATTTTCTTGGGACTGCCCCAACCACAAGGACATGCAGCTTTGAGCTTTTACTGTTCTTCCAGGTATATGAAAAGCCATCAGTGCTTCATCTTCTATTCTTCTAGTTCCACTTGGATTTGAACCCCAGAAAGTAATGGAACAGTGAGCTATAGACATTAGGACAACACAAAAGGGACAGTGTTTTGGATTTTAGATTATGGTAATAATTAAACTGGTCTATTGGTGTGTGAGTTTTTGCACAAAACCTTTGCTGAATAATAACAATTGAAACAGTACTGTTTTTTTACAAAGAGATCTTTCATGAAACTTTTTCCCTAAAACATTTATTATTTGTTTAACACTAATGGTAATTGTTTAAAATTAATTATATCGCACATATTTTATTGTGGGACTAAATTGTTTTCAGATTTATAATTTAAATGTTCAGTTCCACATATGATACCCTTTGCTGCATTAGAAACACTTTTATTAAAGGCTACAAAGAGATATTAATGACCTGGGCATTTATTTTCTGCTCTTCCTAATACAGTTTGCTCAGTGGGAATCATCACAACAGAAAATTTTTGCACATCATGTAACCACTCAAAATTACTCCGCTGCAAATATGCTTTAAACATGTTTATAAAGCATCCTAAAATCACATACTAATGGTCTTATCAAGCAGCTGATATCAGTAAACTCAGTAAAGCCAGAACACACTAAAAAAATAAGTGCAGCCAATTGCAGACACCAAAACAGGAACACTGCCTGATAGAACAGTTGAGGAGTCTTGTATCTGCCCTGGCTGGAGAGAAACTCCCAGAAGAGGCTCCTGCCAGTGTGCAGGTGCTGCATCTCCTCACAGCCACAGCAGGGAGGGGGAGAGCACTTTGAACCACTGGGTTTAGAACTGAGCATGATTCTGGATCTACCAAAACAGTGACACCCAGATCCAGCACAAGGCCAGTTCTGGCAAATGGGACAGAAGCTATCATAAGGATGAAGTGATCATGTCATATAAGCATAGGATGCTGGAAACCAACCCCCCCAAAAAAATTAAAAAGGCAACAAAAAGAACAAAGTATTTCTTGTTCACACTAGACATTCCATTCAAATATCTACACAAGTCATCTGAATCTGTGACATTCAAAGGGTCTAGATGTGCTACTTTGTAAATATTTGATTTCTAGATCAAAGTTCCATTGCATAAATGGGATTTTTTCCAAGTAAAGCGGAAACTAAAGCGGAATACTAAAAGCACCTACTAAAATGCATCAGGCCCTTCTGTTGGTGCTAAATTGTGTCATTAAATAAACCTGACACTGAGAACAGCTGTTTTAAATTCATTGCACAATTGTTTTTAAACACAATAAATACCTATATTTAATTTTTTTTTTTTTTATTTACTTGACAGACTTGAATCAAAGGAGCCTTTTCTGTCCGTTGGGTAAGTAAGAACATGTATATTTTCATGGCTATTTATATGTTTAACAGCCATACAATATAATTTATGAGATTATGTTGAGCATAAACATCCTATTTCAACATGATGGTTATTTACTATACTTAAGCTTATAAAATGCAGCTTTTAGTCAATAAAGTCAGCAGCCATGGATATTTTCCTTCTCAAAAGGAAACTAAGTATGTTTTGCCTTTATTGACTAAACAAAACTTACACTAAAATACATATAGGAGTTAAATGTTGCATTAAAAGGTAGCTGGTTTATTAATTTATTTTCACTGACTTTATTCAGAAACCATTCTAAATATCATCTGTACCACTTGTCTAAACCATGAAAAATTGATAATGTCCTTTAAAAAATTGTGCTACTTCAATAACAGAAATAAAATCAAATTTATGAAATAGAAAAAAATCACACTTTAGCCTGATTATAAACCACTGCACTGATTTTCATATTTCAGCCATAGCTTCCAGTGTCACAGTCACTTAAACAGTCATATGTTGTCTATTTTAAAATGATAACTCATACTTAAAAATTTGTTTTTAAATGTGTCATATTCTTAAAAGATATCACTCTTCTATAAAATGTAGACTAATATATGTATTAGTGGTAATTATCTGTATTTTACTTCTGAGTCTGAATTTCACTTTCCATGCACAGTTTTCCTTTCAGCTTCTTTCTTTAAAACTTTCCGAAGTGTCCTAACATTCTCCCTCCCTGTTTTCCTTCAGAAGTGTGTTTTTTATGTGTCTTTACTCTCATCTTCCTTTGTTCACACCATACTTTGTACTATCGAGCATATGAACTGCAGACAAAAGATCCCATACAAAATATCTGTTTAAGGGTTAGCTCTACCATGTAATTATCAGTAACTTCCAAATTGTTGTACTAATTGCAGAACTGGAAGTCAACTTCAAATTCTGAAGTGTGAAGTAAAGTTAACAAGCAAGAAAGTGTGTAAATTATGATCAAAAGAACTCTACAAATTAGCATAAACAGGACTGAGATATGTCTTGGTTTCTGTAGCATACAGTAACTGGTTTGTTTCAGTATATTTGGGATTAATTGCTTGCTGTTTTTACTTTCTACCAACTCAAAATTATTGGAAAATATTTGGAGGGGGTATGGAGGTTACACTGCTCTTGTTTTGAATGCTTTGAAATGTTCAAATTTACTGTAAAATTCAGTCACTTCTGTTAATAACTCTCATTAGCCCAAATTGTAACTTATCCTATTAAGTTGGCTTTTTGGGGCCTCCACTCTCATGATGAAGTGATTATTCCAAAATACCAACTTTAAGATTAAAAAAAATGAAGTTGCATGCCGTTTTCATTGAGAAGCAAAGTTCTAACAATCCAGGAAACAAAAAAAAAAAAAAAAAATACAATGTTAGTGCTTACATTATTCGCCACAAAATAGTAAATCCTATTTCTTATCATGATTTTAATAACCATGCTGGCAATCTGAGCTTATTTGCCTAGGAGGAAGCATTGTGTTTTGGCTTTGGGTTTGTTTCCATATGAGTAGATTGGTGGCCACTATGTGAACGCACATTGTGTCCACATATTTATTGTATATGACTTTGTCTCTAAAACTGATTCCTCTTGGGAATTCTAATCTGCACAAATAGACTCAGCTTTTCTCCAGAGCATTTCAGAAGTTTGCCTGTAATGTACTCGAATTCTTTTATGCAGGTTCATAATAATGAAGATAGATAAAATCTCTCAAAATTATTCCCTGTGTGCTACTTTTGCCTTTCCTTCTGTATTTCCTCCACCCCCAAGGAGGACATCAGAGGGTTAGACCACCATGTTATAAGGAGGGGCCCAAACCAACATCCACCTCGTTGGTACCACATAAAAGACACTCCTCTTAGTCCCACAAAAACCAGAGAATTCTTTTTTACAGAGAATGAGCTCTTGTGACAGGATCTGTATCTGAAGTTTTAGCCCAGACAGCTGCAACCACCAGGCTTTTAAAATACAGTAATGTTTGCAGAAGAAATGCTGACTTAACCACTATTAAACAAACACATGGGTGCCCTTAATAGCTCTTGCTGCCAGAGTTTGTCAAAACACCAATCTAAATTACTTTTGGCTGCCTCCAGATGGCTTGATCCTGCACACCAGCCTCCCATTCATCTATCTTCTGTAACAGAGATTTGTTTCCACATTCTCATTATGCTGCCTGCAGGACCTAATTAAGTTTTTGATTTTGCTGTGCCTAAGCATATGACTTCTTGGTGCTTTTCCATTGCTAATTTTGGCAGGGGAAGGGAACATGAAGTGTGGCAACCTAAGACCTCAAGTCTGCCACAGGTTTTTGAGCTCTGTGCGTATGTGCAGGGCTGCAATCATCCCATGAGATCCCACAACGGAAAATTGGTTGATAAAATGTTGCATTTTTTCCCCACCCTCAGAAAGCAGCCAGAGAGAAGCAGACCCCGGCTCTTGCTGTTGTCCTTCGTGTCTCAAATGCAGGGAGCGAACACCTCCTGTACTCCCTTGGTAAAGACAATTCCATTTATCATTCTTTCTATGCAAAGCGCATAGCAAAGAAGAAAAAGCCACTCTCCTTTACTCCATGTGCAAGGCAGGGGCATAATTTGGCACTGAAGCCATAGTAACATCTTTAATGAAAGTCTCTAATGGTAACATTCAGGAGCAAAAATTTGTCAAGCATACAGTCTATTCAGATAAAAGTAACTGAATGCAATATTGTGATTTTGGGCTAAAATACAAAATTGAATTTGATATTTGTGTTGTCTTCCTTTGCCCCTTAGCAATGAAGATAAAATCCTTAGGGAAGGCTGAAATATTTGTTAGTGCAGAATGCTGAGTGACAGCCTGTAAGGGCACAGAATAATCCTCTCCAAAAATGTTATTTCCACACTTTTTGGGGTTTGTGTTCATATTCAACCTAAGCAAACTGAGAGGTGTCTGAACTTTCTTTCCTTTTCATGTTATATAGCATTCATGTTCATGTAGGTTTAGTATAAAAAAGAAGTCATGCAAATGCTCAGAGTGCCTGGAAGATATTAATATCAGAGGCAGGAGTTTTGGTAAATATCAACAACAGAAAATGCATCAAATTAGCTTAATGCAGAAAATTTTGAAAGGTTTAGACTTAAAAAGACAAGGCAAGAGTCTTGATAAAAAAGATATGGATACTACAAAATGGACACTGCAAAAAGAACAGCTGAGTGCCATCTCATATTAAGTTCATCCTGCTTTGTGCAAAGGATGTATTATATTTTAAAAGCAATATATATTTAAAATACCAACATCTTTTAATTATCCATATCAGCTCTCCCTAGCTGGAAATTTTCTAACAGTAACGATGCATAATTATCACCTCAACAAAACAGTTATCATTCTCTCTAGACAATTCGACTGGTTATCCAATTATTAACCACCAGCTATTTATTGGCAGCTGATTTATCATAGATATCTGCATTTAAGAGTTTAGTACCTGAAAAATTTCACCTAATACTGCATGCAGATTTGTAACTGGTCATTGGTATGAGCCTTAAAATTAAAATCTCTTTTTGTAAGACACAGCCAATGTAGCATCTTTTAAGGCCTGTAAGAGTATTATATGGCGAATAGAGGCCATAATTATTTTGTGTGTTGCACAGTAAATTCTTTGAATTCATTATTTTTGGTTTCTAACTATAATTGTATGTTACTTCCATAATAACATGCAGTCAATATAACTTCAACACATGCAGAGGCAGAAAATTCCATCATAGCAACTAATAATTTTGAAAAACATGTAAAAATATTTCTCTTCTCTGTCAGACATCATTTACTAATATGTCCCATATTGCTGAATTCAGAAGAGACAGGGACAGAGAGAGAGAGAAACAACTGATTTTTTTCTCAGTCTCCTGAAAACAGATTCATTTACTGCCAGCTGCAGAGAATGGGCTTATTTCTGAACAAGCAAGCAATAGTGCTTCAGTGAGATGGTCTTTGAAAATTACCATCTCTACCACTGAAAATTATTTTTTCAATTTTTTTTTTGGTTTTTTTTTTTTATTGATTGTTTCCTATAAGCAGTATAATTTTTGGTGAAAAGCCCAGAGGGAAACATAAATGAAAATTAATTCATTGTATATATTCATATAATGATGAATAGTTCTCTGTCATGGAAGAAAGAAGAGACAAGTAAAATTAACACTAGTTACTGCATTTTTTTACATTCTTAATGAAAACACTGTACTACTAGAGTAGTAGTATAAACTACTACTTTCCTCACCAAAGTCCTCTTTCTAGAAAGGATATGACAGTAGAAAATACTGAAAAGCCATGCCTTTTCCAAACTATCTTAATCACAGTAACTGTCAAACATAGGTACTTAGTTCTGCAAGAGACAGAATAATTTTGGTGCTCTGGGGTTCTTGTAAGAACTTGGAAAGTCTTCTAAAATAGAAAAAGTAAATTTCATTAATTTTCTTCCAGAAGAATAGTTCTAAGATACATCAAATGACTCAAATTTGTCACTCAGATTTCTCTCTTTTACTTAGTAGCATTTTCTTTCCTGCAAGGCCATTTTGCAGATCTATAGGAAATTCTTTCATCCCTTGGTTTGAGGGATCCCATTCTGCAGAAATGAGACAGTTTAAATAAAAGCCTAGTTCTTCCAGGGTCTGTTATGAAAATACTCAGTCCACTTCCAAAATATGCAAGTTTTTTCAATTCACAGTCAATTTTTGTGGGGGTTTTGTTTGTTGTTGATTTTTCAATGGCCAATAGGTTGTGAGGCACAAAATAAAATGTAGCCATGGAGCTGTAAAAATTCCATTTCTCTTGTTCTTCATCCTGGTGATCTGGTAGCACCGCTGGAAGGAGCAAACAGTGTTCCTACTATTCCTACCCAACTACTGAAGAGAGAGCTAAGAAGATTATTTTTCTTTGACAAAGGAAAAAAAAAAAGAGGAGATACTATTTTGCTCTGTTATTATGACCCCAATAAAACTACC